TCTGTCGGCGAAGCTAATAAATTCAAAACCAAGCCATGAGGGTTATTCTGAGGGCCAACAGACAAAGCGACTGTTAAGGATATAACATCATACACATAAAAATAATCCCACTTCCTGAAGAGAGACCAACGGTGTTCGACACACAGACAGCCAATCTATTTAGTAAATTCTGAATGACTTCTTTAACCTACTGGGTCTAATCTAGCGCAAATACTCAAATCTCATTCGGTTGCCTTAAAACCAAAGAATTGCCTTGCACCTAGACTCACTGGACTGCCGAAAGTCCATAAAGAAGGGGTACCAATGAGAGGTATTGTGTCAATGATAAGATCCCCTTTTGAGAAGATTTCAAAGACCCTGATCCCGATCTTAAGAACTGTACAAGGGAGAAGTGGCCTTTATATTAAGAATTCCAGTGAGCTTAAAGAGAAAATCAAAGATTGGAGAGTAGTGAGAAATGAGATCCTGGTCAGTTATGATGTTAAGAACGAAGACCTCGAAGAAACAACCACAATGAGTGTAACATCAATAATGGAGTTGCTGAAGTGGATGTTTGATCTGACTTATTGTGAATACGGAGGAAGCCATTTTGTTTTGGACAGTGGACCAATAGGCCTTGGTGCCACGGGTGAAATTGCAATCATATACATGGAGGACTTCCCATTGAGAGCTATGGAAAAATCTCCATATCCCCTAAATGAGTGGTTCTGGTACGTAGATGATAGTGAGACCAATTGCAAAGAAGGAGAAGCTCAAAAGATATTAGATCACCTCAATAACATTTGAGCCAGGAGTAATTGTGTTCACAAAAGAAGGCCAAGAAGGAGTTTTTTTACCAGTACTTGATTTGAAGCAGACTGTAAACAGAAATACCAAGAAGATAATGTACTCTGTCCATTACAAGAAGGCTCACACAAACATAAATGTGAAGAAAAGATCCAATCATCGAGAAAGTATGAAAAGAGTCATTATAAAAGGATTTGCTGACAGCGAGGGCTTTATGTGATGAAGAACACTTGGAAGACGAACTACACAACATCGAAGACGTGTTTGTAGCAAACGGATACCCCAGAGAAACAGTGAGAAGATTTATGGAACAAAGACCTCTAGTATCGCAGAGGTCAGTGGTTCGAATCCCGTTCAGGCCTGAAATTTTTTTCAGGTCTGATTTTCACTATTGCTCAAATAGTGCTTTACTGCGAAGGATCGTGCACATAACCGCAGTTCATAACCGCATTTCATAACCGCAGTTCATACATATGTTTCATATGTTTGTTGTTGTTTAAAGACCTCAACAGGTAGACAAAAGAAAACAGGAAGAACAGGAAAGTCGTGGAGTCGTGACCATACCATATTTGAAAGGGTTATCTGAGAAGTGTAGAAGAACTGCTAACCGACACTCTTTTCGAGTTGCTTTCAAGCCTGGAAGAAAGGTAAAAGAGATGAAACGGACATGTCAAGAGCCGCTTGGTGAAAAGCAAAAATGTGTTGTATATAGGATTCCTTGCAACTTCCAGAATACTGTGTATGTAGGAGAAACATGGCGCCTTTTCCAAACAAGAAAGAAAGAACACATGGACAAAGTGAGACTAACAAATGAGGACCTTCATAAAGGAAACACTCTATCGGCCGAAAAACGGATGGGTAAAGAAGATGGAGGCCTGGAAAGACACACCGTGGAGTGCCAAAGTGGTGTTGACTGGGAAACGCAGAGATCGTAACAACAGAGAGAGGATTAAGGAAAAGAAAAGTACTATAAGGAATTGAATCACTACGACAGAAACATCGCGGAATGAGAGTCCTTAACAATTTTGACCACGTTAAAACATGGAAACAAGTCCTAAACTCCTTCTTTGATCATGAAAAAAAGATTGTAATTGACAGTGAATTATCGCAAAAGTAGAAGTACTTGACAGACCTCAGACAACATTTGCCGCGCAATCTGACATCATTTAAACGTTGTGTAATAATCATGAAACGTCATGTGCGGTCACCAAGCTGAAAGACTAAACAATCCGCCATATTGACAACATTTAAATATCCTGAGGAAGACTAGTAAAACTGGTCGAAACGTCGGCTTTAAAGATATTTTAACCTCTGAAAATCCCAGAAACGATTAAAAAATATTTAGTTTTTACAAAAATGAGAGGTGAAATTTTCAGAAATACTATATGAAAAAAGAAGCCACACACACCCAGCTATACACTTATCTCACGATCAAAGGGTTCGTTACGGCCAAAATTGTTGGGTTCAGATCGAAATTATCAACTAGGACAGGTGATTATGGATGCTGGTAGCTACACACGTACTGTGTTTCCGGCTTATGCAAGGCCTTTAACGCGTTGGATCATTACCAACTCAACAGAAGCTGACGAATATTGGTTTTACCACCTCACCTACACCACCCGTGGTTTAGCTAGACAGGTAACAAGTCTATTAAGAAGTAAACTGAAACTTTACCTAGAGAGCTTCCCTGAATACTTATCCGCAGCGAAAAGGAGGGTATCGACGTCTTTGATATGGCGTTAAACAGGCTTAAAGTTGCTGTCAAAGTCCGTACTTTCAAGAAGTCATTATTTCATTTTGCTATTGTGAACGAGATGGACTGCTCCCTAACTCTAAGTTCTTTTAACTGGAGATCTGGTAACTCTAGGCCTAAAGACGAATTAAAGCTACTCAGATTAGCTTCCCAGCCTTAATCCAATAACCCGTCATAAAAGTCTTCTTTAATAGTATCTTTTGGGATCGCGCATGACCGAGGACGGCTTCGCAGTATGACTTATGCGGATAACTTGAAACTTTAATTCGAAAGCTCGCCGGAGCACGAAGCAGTGGTAAAAGGAATTCGAAGAAGTGTATCGACGTCTCCAGTATGAAATGATGTAGTCTAACAGTAATTGTTGAAGTCCTTCGTTCTAAACAAGAACTTACGATTATAATAATATTCAGACTTACCTTGAAATTTAGAAGCCCCGACGAAATCTTCATGCTTCGGATTGTTGTGAATGAACAATTTGAAGGGACTCTGACGGATTGGTTCATCTCGCACTTTAATTGAAACCCTGAATTCGCCAAAAGAATTCGGTGTATAAGACACAGAATAACGTCCGTCTTTCAAGTCCTTCACAACTACTGAGATGTTTTCTATTCCATTCCGTACAGAAGTAACCTCAACAATAACATTGTCAATTTTACTGTAAGTTGTCTGACCCGTTGCATCCTTTGTTGTCACGGTAAAATTAGCTTCCTCTGACTGCTTACCCTTTGTCAGGCCTTCACCAGTAGCGACACTCAAAGAAGGTTCTGTGCGAGATATATACAGCTTCCCTAAGGTGAAATTTCGAGGAAGTGCATATGGGGTGTATTTTAAATCTGGATACTTAAGCAACGGTGTGACTTTTTCTGAAATCAATTCATCGAGAACTTGTTTTATATTTATCATTTCGTCTATGTTATGGTTTTCAAGAATCGCTCTACCGCGAGTAGCAGCGCTAGTCATTTTCTCCAGTTTCTCGTTCAGCTTCAACAACTCCTGGGAAATAACATCGTCGTTAAGCGATCTCTCCCTCGCCAGCTGCTCCGTCACGCTTGTTTCGAGTCGGTGAATCAAATTTATGTACATTTCAGCCGCGTTACGGACCTCTTTCGTCGCCTGATTTATGCCAGTGTTAAATTTCTCTCTCCTTTCCAGCAAAGTAACAATATCGCTCCTCAAATGTGAAGTGTTCGCTTCAACAGATCTCAGTTTTTCTGTGACAATTTCTGCCTGCATCTTCGCTCCATCTTCTGCAGACACGATTTTGTGATTGTTCGAATCCCGATGTTCGACAATGACACAGTCAGAGCATATGCAAATCTGGCACTGTTCGCAGTAATATTCAATATTTTTTCTATGGCGCTCGCATAAGTTCTCTCGTAGTGATTTGATATCCCAGCCACTGTGAGCTTTTAAGAGATCTCCCAGATTTTTGCAAGCGAGGTTGGTTGGCAAACATTCAATGTTGTGGTTAGGACATTCGGTAATCACTCGACAATTTGGGCAGCTTAACCTTCCTCCGCCATGCTGTCGTAGCCAGCCGTTAAGACAAGATTTACAGAACGTGTGTTGACATTTTAGAATTTTCGGTTCATTGCTCTCACTGAATTGTTCCTGGCACACAGGGCACTCTAGTTCTTTTTTGATATCGTCTAACAAGCTCTTTCCCTGAGCCATGGCTTTCAACAAGATGGAGGGACACGCGTCATGGGACAGAGCTCAGCATGACCACTATTCTTGGAAAACCGGAAGCCATTAGCACACTCGAACCCAGGACCTCTCGGTCTTCTCTCTTATTCTTCGCAAAAACTGGCGTAGTGCAATGAATCGTGCACAAATTAAAATAAATGAAACGTTTGAGATACCTAAGTAACAGATAGGTAGCTGTTCTTTCCATTCCGGCGAACGGAATAATTCAAGGACTACGTTGCATGAAAACTTTAAATGTCAACTATTTTTGTCATACAAGTGATGTAATCCACCGAAGCTCAATGACATCTACAAACAAACCTTTAAAAGTGAAATTCGTCAATTAGCGGATTCCCTTCGTAGCCAATTCCTCCCTAACTCTTCTCTTAAGGTAGTCTCTCAAATTAAAATGAAACACCTCAATTACGTACTACAGTCGAACATGTATCAGACGGTCATACACAGGGAATGACGGGGCTATCGTTTAGTACAGGTTGACCGGTTACTCCAGGTTCCACAATAAGAGGGGTATTTGTACAAAATGCAATTTATGTCGCAGCGTGAAAACAACACTCAGTCTATGTTGCTCTTAATTATTAATTATTGATGTGAACGTTTTAGCATTTTAATACTTTTAGGACCACAGTAATTGGCTATCGCTGCTGTGGTTGCCTGCCCGTTATTGCTATTGCTCTTTTATTTCATCCGGTTGTGTTATAGGTTATGTGTATTGTTGGCAAAGCTAATAAAATAGCAATGCCATTTTATGCATAATTTACGCCATCCTTTTCTGTTCCATCTCTGCACCAAGCCCCTGCTACTTGTGCTGTCTGACAAATCAGACCCTTTTTTCGGAGATCGCTTAGATATTTCTCGACAAAACTTTCTTCACCGTAGACTTTCAAATGCTTCTGGTCTTCACAGACCTCAATTAGTAAGGGTTTTGCCTTACCCACGTTTCGGATGCGTTGCCTACGTACAGGTGACTCTTGGTCACTGGGAATGAATTCTACTAGCCTCATGCATGCACTTATGTATATTTTGATAGAGGGCGACGAAAGCGTCGCAACGTATCCTTCAAAGAATTTTTCGGTGGTACAGCGTTTAGTAGGTTCAACGGTTACTTTGTCGTCGACGGCATCTCTGCGTATTTTTAATTCATAATCATTTTCGATTTTTCGTAACTCTGTCTCATGCCCTTTGACAAACAAACAGAAAAACTTTGGTGTCGTTTTGTACTGTTGGGGTTGTATATCCGTGCATTCTTGACCTTAAAAGTACTGACGCAATAAATATCTACTTTGTTTTATCTGTTGGAACTTCCCTGAAAGTACGAAGCCTTTTCTTGCATCACGGAACTCGATGTCGGTCTCATCCTTAACTTTGTCGAGGACAAGTTCTATTTCTTCACGGGTGTGGTTTCCTAGTGCTTCATCATAAATCCAAGCCGATACCGATAAAACGAGTAGGCGATAAGTCCAAGCGGAAAATACGAGATTCTGTAGCTTACATTACAACCCTAAAAAACAAGGTCAGTAAGATATTTTTATATCTTTGGATTCAAAAGGAAGGGCACGATTTCGATTCACACAAACTTTTGAATTTAGCGAGCCGCACAGTGAAATACGACTTGCCTAATTGACTGTACTGGGGTTTTGAGTAGGCGAAAACCGAAGACTACGTATACACTTCAATAACACAACAACAAGTTTAATTTCAGTATGGAGTCGAGTACATGATAAAAGGTGCCCAACACACGTTCGCAGCACTGCCTCATATATTGAGACATGATTACAACACACCTACTAACTGAGAGATGTAAAATCCACATTAAATCGCACAGATAGTGCTTGATTAAATCCCGAAAAAATTCAATAGACACTCCATATCCAGTGGCTTCGCAAAAAAATGCACTGCCGAATTTGTTCTCAAGTACACTAAACCTTTTATTCCTCATGTATTTTACTTGTCGATGGCACTGGGAAAGGGAATCTTTGAGCATAATCTATCTGATCCTACCTCAGTTCTTAAATCTCCTGATTGTACTCGTGACTTCACTGACAACGACAAAAAAGGAAGATTCGGAAGTTACTTGTGCTATTATTTTTACAGTCTCGAGTTTGGTTATCAACTCAGCTAAACACAAATGAATAAAGGGGGTAAGTTTCTAGAGAAACTGTGGTGCTGCGTTGCTGGGGGTAACAAGGTAGTTTGGTAATATCAACTAAGTTGATATTACCAGTTGGCTTGTTAGCTCAATTGGTAGAGCGCTGCACTAGTATCGCAGAGGTCAGTGGTTCGAGTCCCGTACAGGCCTGA